ACAATGATGTGTGAGTTTGTGTTGGAGGTAACTGAATCCTTTACATGTTCTTTTCCAAGCACTAAATTCACACCGTAGACATCCTTCCTGTTGTCACAGCCTTATTGTATTACCCTGTCTGTTTTCCTCTAGACATTTTCTGCTACTACCTTTATCACCATAGTATTTGAGTATCCTTCATCAGTGCATTAAGCATCATAACTACCATCTGTCATATGTTTGTCCTCTGATCTTCTCCATAGAGAGGGCAATGTGCTCAGCAAAGTGCTTTGTTTGGACAGGATTTTTGTTACGACAGATTTTCACTCGTATACAGAGATAGAAGGAATATATCTTCCCCTCAGAGCAGAAAGTGAAGATGTCCCTGATGTTCCCAATTTGTGGGAGGGTTTGCATTGCAGCTTGGACTCCCTGGGAGAGAAACCCTGCAGAGAAGCCCCAAGGCCTCGAAATTAATTGGAGTCATCTTGAAATCCTCTGGTAGGTCAAGAGGGCCAGTTTCATGGTGCTTCTCCTAGCTTTTGTCACAGAAGAGACAGTCGTTCTCAGTCTTAGCCTTTCTTCTCACTCCCAGATATATGCCACTGCTGGGCYTGCCAATCTGTCAAGACACTTTTTAATGCTGTCTCAACACCAAAGACATCCTCTTTGCCTGCAGGCCATCACCCAGGTCTTTCTGGAAAACATTGCATTTTTATTTAATTCCTTTTTGGAAGCCTTCAGCACCTTTTTTAAAGCCTTCTTTCAGGTCTCGCCTCATTCCCTGTTAATCCTGTTTGATTTCTGAAAGTGCCTACACTATACATTTTAATTTGTTGGGAGTCTTGTGGATTATTTTTTGTTGCTAGATCAAATAGATGGGAGWCAGAGTTTTCTCTCCAGTGCAGTCCTCCTTGAGAAAATCAGCGTGTGTTTCTGTAAGTGCTGTTTTGTTGTCTGCATTCATATTTTTGCTGCTTCTTACTGACCATAGACAGACATACAGAGAGCTGAAATCCGCTCAGTCCCTAGTCTCTACATTTATTACCAAGAAATTCTGTGAACAAAATCACCAGCAAGTATACCAACCTACCTGTGAGTTAGCTGTTAGGCATCTATTTCCCAGGTTTTTGAGGTCACTGAACAAAGGGTTGTTTCACTGTTTCTTTCAGTAGCCTGCAAATAAAGCACCTTCTATAACAAATGGCTTTAAAGTGGTATAATCGATCTTAGTGGGAAGAAAAAATAGGTGAATCAAGTTGATAGTAAAATAAACATGTGCCTCCAGAGGTGAAGTGTGGTATGTTTGCTGTAAGACTCATGCTGCTAGATGGAACACAAATGCAGCAAGTTCTCTTCATTTTTTTTCAAAAAAACAGGAGAACAATCTTGGGGAATTGTTATCGTGGGTATTTTTATACCCAAAGTTACTTCTGACTGTTCCTGACTCTGCTGGGTTATGGTTAGTGCAGCACTTATTTCTAGTCTTATCTCTGCTCATTTATAATGGTTTCTCTCAGGAAGCATTTCTTAAATCCTTTAAGTAAAACTTGCCACTATATCCAGGATTATTTTGGCTTCATTTTATAATTAAACTGGTAAATCTTGGTTAATAGATAAGATCTCTATTGCGATCAGTTCTATGTGATTCCTATATCTAGGCTGTTCCCTGCATAAAGACACAGCCAGCTTGCTAACCTTAATTGTTTTGGTTGTTTTTCCTCTTTATAGAAGGAGAGATAGGTAGTAAAGTCATATCAGAGATGAAATGTTCAAAAATCCTACAATAGCTTTTTGCTCTATTACTTCTTACTCACCTKTCCTACAGTCTGGTTTTAGTGTAGCCCTCTTTGATATTTCTGTGAGTGTCTCCTTCTGTTAGAGTGAGAATCCATACACCTATGATGTCTTACGAAGGTTCATTATTAATCTATGGTTGAGATAGAGAGGCAAGGATAGATAGGAAAGGTGGGTATGACTAACAGACATCAGCACAGTGCACCTGCAGAACCCATGTTGAGAGGGAGCGGATGTAGGTGAAATGTGTATTTATTATGAATGTGAAAGCAGCACTTACTGTGACTTGCCTTTGCTCTGCTATGCCATTCTGCTGAAAAGCCAGAGGAATTTATGATGCCTGAAGTGCACGATGATGGTTGTGCCAGAGTATGAAACGTGATCTAGAAATGCCAAAAAATACCCATTTTTTTGGCAACTAGATTTTGAAATCTTTGCCACAGATTTTATGTGAAAAGGATCAGTGACAAGGGCACTGTTTAGAATGTAAATTGAAAAAATGGACTGGTGATCTGTAACTAAGAGGGGCTTTATCCAACTGGTAGTGTTTACTGCTTATCACAAACCTACTGATTCATTCATGAGGAATACTATACAAATTTAGAGGGACCTCTCCAACAAACATCTTTGCTATAGGATACGATTGGCATCAAGTAACTTGTTAGGACTTCTTAAAAATCACTGTCCATGTTCTCTGTGAAAATATATTTAAAGAAAATTAAAGCAAAGAAGGAAAATAATATTTTTGAAGTAAAAAAATATATGGAAATGTAACCATAATGTTGGATATAATGATAAAGTCAGGCTGTTTGATGTGTAAGGAAAGTGTTGCTTTCACAGCCAGCATGTACATTGAAAGAAAAAAAATATCTGTGTGTGAAATAGCCCAAATAATAGCCCAAATATTACAAAGTTTAAGGGCCACAGAAGGCAAACAAAGAAGATGTTAGTTCAAATGATCTTTCCATGTCTATGAACAACTGGAGAGATAAAATCCAGAAGATGAGCAGTTGGATGACGGACCAGTAGGAAGCAGAAGGTTTCAACTCTGTGGAAGATTAAACTTTGTCTCAGTTTATTGGGAACTGAAGCTGTTTTTCAGAACAGTGTGTTATCTTATGGGTAGGAATCTTCTCAGTTGGAGGCTAGGGGGAATAGTTAGGAAGACAAGTGACAACATGAAAAAGGGATGTAAAGAGAGCAAATGCACTACAAATTTAAACTCAAAGTGTCATAAACAAAGCTCCCTGATGTGGCAAAGAAAGTGAACGCAAGGCATTTTTCACTAACTCATATATCCATGCTACAAGCAGTCTGAATAATTTTCATTGATTTAACTGACTTTACTAAAACCTGATTGGAGGATCTGTACGACTCAAAAGTTTAAATCTCTATCTGTAACCTAGTTAGGAAATGCAGAGTGAGAAAAATAAATTCTGTATTAAAGATACTCAGATCTTGATATCTCTGAATCACAACATTCTRAATACACATGAATCGGTGTACTGACTAAAATGCCCATGAGGAAATACAGTTGGGAGCCATAACAGAACTCCACTAGAGGCCTGGGTGAGCAACTGTGTCAGCATTTGTTTTGGCAGTATGTGGAAGAAAAAATCGTATCCTAGAGGACTTCGATTTGGGAGGTATAGACAGATAGTCTATAGCAGGCAAAGCTGAAAAAAAATGTTTATCTCTAAAAATGAAAAAAAAATCTTCTCGTACAAAAGGTGTCTACCATCCTTTACTTTGAGCTTTACTTCAAGACAAGCCTCATCACAGCAGACAGAAATGATTTAGTAACTGGRTTGGAAAGATGAAGGTGCTTTGTAGACATGATTACATTTGATATGGGCAAATGGAGGGTAGAAAGAGCCTAGAGTACATGCTGCTTCAAGTTGCCAAATATGAGGAAAATGAGTGAAACTGAGTAAAATTGATTAAGATGAAAGAAAAGAAAAAAGAAAAATACAACAGGTGAAAAATTAGGATGTTTTAAGACCAGTTTATTGCACGACCAACAAGTTCTAACTGCACAATATAGGAAGAGGAAATTTTGAAATTTAAGTTTATTATGGATGTGAGAAACAAAATCAAAAATTAGAACTATGCAAAGGATATCTCACAAATAGAAAATAGGTCTAGAGTAGACCCTGGAAATTAAAACTGATAAAAATTGGCAAGGAAATTCAAGACAACACAATCTCCTTAATAAATGGTAGGGTAGTCAGTATAGGTCAGTTTGATGCAAAATTCTAGGAAAATATTCTAGTAAAGTTCTAAAGAACTTTAAAGAGATGAATAAGACAATCTCTGTCACTAATGTTTACTTTAAAAATTGTGGAAAATCAAGAAAAGTACAGTAAACGACAGTAATGTGACAATAATTAAAAAATGAAAATGAGATCACCAAGGCAATAAATAGGTTTGCTTTAGGGAAATTTAAAGAAAAAAATATGTTATGGAACTCATGTAATGTAGAATTAAATGAATAGRAAGAGGTATATGATTAATATATATTAGTAGAGTTGTATGACAATAAGTCTCATTTCACAGGAGATTCTTGAAAGAGATTACAAATTAGATAGATGAAGATGCACTAAATCTTAATTTTGTGCATAGCTGATTTTTCTAATTTATTTTTTATAGCATGTGATACACAGGATTATTTAGCTGGAAGCCTTTAAAATATAGGTTCTGCTAAGGAATCATCATGAAAAAAGTTATATGAGCAAGCATTTGCATGGCTAAGATCCAACATTTCAGAATACAAGGTCTCACTTGTATTAACCACATCTCAGAGAGCATGTGGTGCGGGTCCTACTGAGAGAATGGAGGTCTGCAACCTGCAATGCCAAAAAGAAAACACCAAGCATTAAGGAAGACAATAGAGGCTAACATAATCCTTGGAATAAATAAGCAAAGGTAAGATTGGAGGGTCTGTTGATTTCTCTTGGTGTTCAAAGAGCTTCGAGGTGTTCAGGACAACCACCCTAGGGATTTTTGTAAAAACTGTATATTGGAGTTGTTTGCTCCAGCATTTCTCATCTGACTTGAAGGAACAGCTGAAACATCTTGGCTCTGATTAGTATTGATTCGGCAGCAACAAGTATGTTGCAGATTAGAGTTGAGCATGATTCATATTCAACCTACCTGGTACCAGATGTGAAGACCGGAAGGGAAGCATCATGGCTGTGATGATGCTGCCAAGGCAGTGACAGCAGATGGCAGTGTTTGTTAATGACAGTTGTGTAAATTTGTACCTGAGGACACACTGCTCTGTGTTAAAACTCTGACAAGTTAGTGCTCAAGGAATACTGGCATCCCAATGAGCATCCCAGCACCTGCTTCTTCAAGCCCGAGCAAGCAACTCTTAGCTCGTCAGGTTAATTTGCCAATGAAAACGTCTGTTTTAGTCTTTTAGCCAGAGTCCTTTAAGATATAGCATGTTTGGTGTATTTATATTTCAGCTGCAAGATGCCATGAATTGCATATTACAGAAACATAACAAAGTCCTTCAATAATTGCATCTATTTTGGACCATTTATTCCAGGTTTCTCTATAAGGAAAGTAATTTCCTTAAGTTCCTCGAGTTGGTCAAGAGAATGGACTCTTCAATGGGTGTTTCAGGTCTTAGAGGGGTTCTGGATCTGCCTCTCTCATTGTTGACTCTGCAGGACATCAGGTAAGGGAAGTGTTTCTCTCAGATTTTTTCATATCATATAAATAATACTATAATTTATAATATGTAATATAAATGTTATCTTACAAGTCATGTAACAAAAGTTCAACTTATAGTGCTGAGTTATTATGAATTCAGACCTTTGGAAGATAAGAGGTGATACGTGTTAAACAATTTTTCTCAAGTAGTTTTTCCATTCATTTCTYTTTCATTTGAAGCATTCATAGACTGCAAATAAGACAACTCCACCAAAGAACTTGACATTTAAAGAAGCAAATATTTTCACCTTTTCAGAAAACATAAATTGCATTATATATGGAACTAAAAAATACTCTGTATGACAGGATATTTGTATTCTGCTGATTTCAAGGACAATAATTCAAGAAACATCAAGCAACTAGGACATTGCAAAAGAGTGATCTACTTAGATTATGGCTGCTGTGCTCTGAGGGAACTGAGGCCTTCATGAGATAAGTCATGRAGAACCTACTCCTTTCAGGTGCACTCAGTTTTATTGGATTTATATCCTAGCCATGCTCATATTTGTGCATGGGGCATTTTAGAAGATGGTATTTATCAGAGGCCAGAAGAATTAGTTCTTCCTCTTCTTATGATGCAATTGCTCCATGCCCCACTCAGSAAGAAATAGCCAGGGACACAAGAAATAGCCAGATTTACTTCCCTGAGAACCAAACCAAAGCAGATTTCAAATAAATGGAAAAATAAAAGCAATTTTTTTTTTTGCTCAGACATATTTATCACTAGGTATCTGAAAACTCTGTTACGGGACACACTCTGCATTAGAGTTAGGCACAGATAAACTCCATCTATTCTACACAGAGTAATATAGTACARCTAAAATCAGGGTCTAGTGCAATATTCTTTAGTAGCTAAGGTCAGTGAAAAAACATGGAATCCTCTTGACACTGCTTCTGATGGAGTCACCAGGGAGCCTGCTTCATTGTTCAAAAGGACATTTTTGGAAGTGTTTTTATTCTGCTTTTTTCTTTTTCCTTTTTTTCCCCCTGCCTTTGCTCTCATCAGTTTGTTAAAATATTGTCAGACTRAAATAGAAAGCTCACAGTGTATGTTAGCAGAGGGGAAGAGGATAATAACTTGACAGGTTTTCCAGAGAGAATCCTTTTATTTTCAGCAAAACTACAGTGCAATTTAAACAATTCACCCGTCTTCTTTTTACTGTGGTTTAATGGCCACAGTTGAAAGAAGGGTACGTTTAATGTTTATAACAGAAGAGAGATTGTGGAATAAAGGATCCTTAAGTATCCTGTCTCCCTTTGGAAGTCAATAGGAACGCACAGTTTTTAACCTCTTCCAGGATCCATGCCCAGCAGATATTGCTTCTGCTTTTCCATAACAATATTAAGAAAAAACTCTGTTTTTCTGTCACAGGATGAATAAAATGACAAGACTAGAATAATATTAGCTGCAGGACTGGTTGAATTTTGCATATTTKCACCCAAAGCGGTTGGGCTAAGCAAATCAAAAAGCCAGTAATTCTGCTCACAATTACATGCAGGCATCCTCTGTGCTTTCTGAAAATGCTGACAAAGTTACACAGTTTGGCTGCTGGTGACAGCTTGGTCCCGAGCTTGAGAAGAAATCTAAGGGCTGTTACATCCAAGTATGGTCTGTCTACTGGAGCTGGTTAAAATGTTTCCAGCAGAAAGGTTTTCCATCAGAAGATGATATCGGGGTGGAATGAAAAACTCCTGATGTTTCCYGGGATGCATGAGGACTCTGCTGGATCAACGTATGTGGCTGCCTGTGGGGCTTCCACCTCTCTGAGTCCCCAGGATGACACGCACTTCATCGGAGCCAGGGAGGTGACAACCGGGAATGCTGAGACCAAAGCAATTTTCAAGGAAGCCAAATTCTCATCTTCCAAAATACRTTTATTTGAAGATGTTATCTCATGCAAAATGCTGCCTACAGCTGGAACTGCTACACCTCTGCAGTTCAGATAATGGTGGCACCATCTGTCGCCATTAAATTTGTGTTCCACGAGGAACAGAGTTTTACAGAAAAGAGTAAGAATGCATTGCTCTCTTTCATAGACCCTGTGGTTTTGTTCCTTGCTGAGCCTGCTTTTCTCCAAGACCACAGAAATGCTGGAGATGAAAGCACAGTCCTGGCATTTCGGTCCCTACATCTGTGAGGGTAGGAGTTAGGCTTGTTCAGTTCATTAAACAGACACAATTAACTTTTTTTTTCCTTCAGTATTTCAGTGTTTATACTAAAATCCCACACCATAACTTTTATTCATTGAGCATAACAGGACTCTTGAGGGAGATAAAGCACAAATGAAAATAGGAAGGGTATATATATATATCTCCATCTGATCAGAAAAATGCCATTGGCATGAAAGGATTTGCAAGCCAGGATAGGAAACTGTACATTGCACTTCACATCAGTTCAAGTCTAGTGCACACTCATTGGCTTCTCCAGACTAACACCCAGGATAAAATTATTTTTATTGTTTTTATTTTTTTGTATATTGGCCATTTAGACTGCTTTAAATTTGTAATGCTGAGAGGCAATAAAGCACTAAGGATCCTGACACTCTAATAACTTAAAGAAAATCTGCTTTCATCTGCAATTCCTGGAAATCTGTTTAGCTGGATGAAAATCTATGGTTTGCAAAAGATGAATTCTTAGGGTATCTAAATCCCGCTTTAAGGCTGAGGTAGAGATATAAAGATTATTGTGTGTTTAGGAAGTCACTGTTAAAATAACTATTTGGCTTAAGACACTAGGTTCAGCCTGTCTCCTAAGGATATAATGCTATCTTGTTTTTCTCCAGGGCCTTAAAGCGCATCTTGAATGCTTTGTGGAATATATTGTTTGTCTTTTCTTCTGTACCTTCCTAGAACTGCAGACTTCAAAGCACACTGAAGAAATCAGGATTTGCTATTTACTATTTYCTGACTTGACAGGTGAATTTCACTTCCTTTATTTGCCCGAGAGGGGAGGGCTCTTTCCAGTCTTCGCTTCACAGGAGCTTCGCTCATTTAAAAGAACCCTACTCTGTGCATGGATATGGAAGAAAAAGAAGAGGAAAGAGCAACACTGGAGGAAACAGGAGAGGTCTGAAAGAACGGTGGAGATGAGGTGAGGATCACCGTGTCCCAAATCCATTTCTATTGCATCTGTGTCTAACTCCAGAAGCAAAGGATTACTCTTTTTAAGGGTGGCAGAGTTTATCCTAGAGAGAATAAATCCTGAAGCAAGATGATGCCTTTTATAAAACGGGCAAGTTGCTGAATGTAAGCAGGCTTTGAAGTATGTGAAGACTGTAGGAGTCTGTTGCACCAAATCCAGAAAGACATTGAACATCTGTACCTTTCTTTCCTCAGCAGGTGTTCCATCTTTCTTGCAGTATTGGAATGCATTCAAAATGTATCTAATTCTGCAGATATTTTAGTATGTCTGTGTTTGCTAAAAATCCCGCATACACTGCTTGCAAAAAAGTCACTGATAGAATCTAGTTCTCATTTTAAGCAAGGGAAATGTTGCTGTTGCTTGTATTTTTATGTTTTGAAACTGTTTGCTAGAACCTTCGAAAATAGTATTTTGAACAGARAAACTACTGAGTTATTGAGTTTTGCACAGTTACAAATAGTGCAACACTGAGAAGCCAATAAACACAAAAGAATCCCTAATGTGAACGGCTGTACTTGTGCATTGCTAGAGACCAGCTGTAAACCAGAGAGCTGAAAATCTACAGAGACTCGGCAGGCAAATTTCTGACTGTCAGGAAGTTTCACAATGCTCATTTCACAGAATCACAGAATGGTTGAGGTTGGAAGGGACCTCTAGAGATCATCTAGTCCAACCCCCCGCTGAAGCAGGGACCTACAGCATGTGGCACAGGGTCGCATCCAGGTGGATTTTGAAGATCTCCAGAGAAGGAGATTTTTGTCCAGTTACGCAGGTTATCTGAGATGGAGCCAGCAGATTAACTTGAACAGAGTAGAAATACAGCTCCTCAGTTAGAGGATCAATATTTATTTTTTCTCTAGTATATGTTCTATCTAATTATAATACATTGCACATATTACTATGATAACTTCCTCATAAATACTTTGAGCTGAAAATGAAATTTTTGTGCTGACTGATTGCCAGAAGTTACACCTTTCATGCAACTTCTGCTCTTCCTAGGTACTTTATGTCCAAATGCAAATTTGAAAAGCTTTATCTTTCAACTGAGTCTTGTACCTGTCACATTTTAGCAATGTTACTTACTTACTGGAGACAATAAAGAAGCATAGAAGTTATTAACAGTAGTCCCCATCCATACCCTGTCTGAACTCACAGCAGACAAAATGGTATCTTTAAAATAGTGGCCAGACTACTTGCTAGCACATGAGTTTAACTGACACAGAGATTCGTGGCTGAGGAAATTTCATTTGCGCTTATTCCACTTCCATTATTTTACTGTGGGCAATGTAAGAAAGAATGGAGACAAGTCTATCTTTATTAAAGACAGAATAAAAGAAAATCATGAGTAAGATAAAAGCAACCTGCATAACTATTGTGCTTATTAAAACCAATAAATAAGACTCCATGATGTCCAATTTGATTTGCCTTCTGTGTTTTCTTGTGKTTGTTGCTCTTGCAGAGCAGCTTGTGTAGACTGAGAAGCATAAAAGGGTGTAGTGTATTGCCGTGTCATTGTAGAAAATGCATGTGATACGGCTGCTGCAAACTGGGTATATTCAGGGAACATGAAAGTTCTTTATTTTCMTATGAAGAATAGCCTTCAGTATTTATTTTACTGTTCCCGAAAATGGTCAAATAACCTTTAAACCTTTCTTTCATGGAATTGCCTGCCAAAATGCCACATCATCATCAACACAGGTAAAAGTGAAATGAAATCTTAAGAGATCAAGTCTGTAACAAATGCTGAAGGGAGGCCTTTTCTCCAGAATTCCTCTCAATCAGTTCTTCCTACTCTGGCTCTTCTCTAAAGAAAATTCCCCCTGCAGCAGGAATTTTTGCTTGGATAAACTACCCAAATGCTATCCTAAATCCAAGGTAAGAAATAAGCATGCTTAAACTGGATCTGTTTCAAGTCTGCTCTGACTCATCGGGTTGTCTTGTCCTCCCACCGCCTGCCAACCACCTTAGATATTTGGGATACGGAACAATAGCATATCCAGTCACAATGCTCACTTATACTCCTGGCTACCTCTGGAAAGCAACYGTTAATTTTTTCTGTTCCAGACTAATTGGCAATTTAAGGGCCTATTTGAAAGAAGAAGGAGTCTTTGGGAAGGTTTGCCTATTCCCACCTGCATACATTTTAAAATTGATACTGGGCTGCTTGTAGTGTTAATTATGATTTACTTATTCTATTTTTTTTATTCTATTACTCAGGCTGCAATTAGACAAGAATAAACGCTTGATGCCCAGACCTTCTAACTGAGAGACCTCAGATACTTTCTGTCTTGAACAGGAGGGTACATATCAGTCCTTTGACTGGAGGACCCATCTGGAAACACTAGTTAACAAGAGCGCTTTGACTGGGGAGACCAGCTAAGYTCATTTCTCCACACTCTAAGGTAGGTTGAAAATGAGATCAGCCAAGTGCAGCTGGCCACTGGGATAGTGTACTGATTAGGACTCAGTGCTATAGCACTAATGTAGGGTGGAGATGATGAGATTCAAAGGTCTCTTTTCATGAATGATGGGCTTAACCTCCTGTCCTTCATCTCCAAGTGTTTGTAATATATAAGTAATGTATAGCTGATAATTTTCGGCCMACCTCTTGGTTTGTCATTAAATATTACTTAGGTTGTTTGCTTATTCAGTRTCTGCTAAACCATAGAAAGAGTGAATGTGACCCTGAAAAATAGCAAGGATGTGAAGGGACTTGACTTCCAATCCTTCTTCCAGTTAGCATGAAGTAATTCCACAGAAGACAAAAGAGCTCCAGCAAGAGATTCCAATAGCTGGGTTCCAACTTGCRTATCAGGAAGAGTCTGAAGCTGTGTGTCTGCTCTCCTAGCTCAGGTTTCTGAGCATGGTGGAGCACCTTGTTACCTGCTGTTGAAGAGAATAGGAATACTCTGACTATGCCTATCAGAGTATGCCTACCAGTTTGGGAACAGTAAGGCAGAAAATTTTGTCTCCGATCCCTGAAATTCTGGGAAGTAGCCTTATAATGAATGATCTTGTATTTCTCACAGGTAACCTTAGCCTTGTTCCTATTGCTTTAATCTTGAAGATTATCTGTGCTTCTTGTAATATATTCCTACTCTCTCCTGTGTTGATTATACATCCAAACTTGCATAATCAATCAGAGGAAATTTCATCTTTTTTTTTTTTTACGTCAGGAAATATTAAAGAAAATCTGTGCCTGCATCCACTCTTTGGGAACTTCAGGAGACCCCTTTTAACTGGTGTGCTTGGATGTTTCTGAATTCAGCTAGTTCTTGACCTGCATCACTGTCTTTGCCCTAATCCTTCTTTATCTTCTGCTTTGGTAATGATTCTTTGTGTTAAATAAAACGATCTGGCATTCATTTTCTTTTACCACATTTCACCAGTCCACTAGGTCATCAGTCTTATCAAAGAAAGAAACAAAATTATCTCTGGCTTCCAGGTATCCCCTATATGTTGCTTTTTCACAATAAATGAACTTAAATGGTGACATAAAGATTATTTCCAGCATAAATCCTATCCATTCTCTTGTCAATGCTCTCCATAGTTATGCCATTAAGTATATACCATCTATTAGTTTTGTTGACCTCAGACTTAATATTATATATTTGTTTTCTTTAAATTACATTTTCCATTTCCATGCCACCTGATATAGRCAATCAAATTTTTCAAAATCTGGCTACAACATGCCTAGTAGCTGTAACTTCAAATTATTATTTCTGAATTTGATATATTACTTTAGATAGCTGTGTGAAAGTAGTTAAACATTTTTCAAATAAGACAGGTTCTCAAAACAACCTCAAAAAGCTACAGTTAATAATGATAATAAAACTCCCACACCTTTCCAGCTCAGTAAATTAATCACTTTTATTTTACAAGTGCTTTTCTTCATGACATTATAGCCCTCATGCAATTTTATCATTCTTATTGCTAAATCTAAGCTTTTTTGTGTGTTTGTTTATTTCCACTGACAACTAAGCTAAGGCAAACTTTGTTTTGGTTACTCTAAAACTGTGAACCAAAGTAGAACTTGCTCAATAGTTCATCTGGAAGGTATATTTGGAGCTAAATGTACAAAACTGATGGAGAAGATCTTGTCTTATTTTTGGTCAGGAGGATTCAGGATGTGCAAGATCTAAATGCTGCCCCTCTTTCCTTTCCGAAGGACAACAACTAAGTCACAAGTATTCTGGTGTTCATACAGTAGGAAATATGAGATGTCTTGCTGTTGCTTGTTTGAGTTGATTTACTTAGTAAATATGGTGAAACATTTCTTCACATACTTGGAWGTTTTATCTTCCTGAGTGGTTATTCAGGCTATCATCTTTCTTTTGATCAGGCTCTCATCGATAATTTTAGTGTTTCGTACAAAGTGCAAAAACTGCAGTGGCTGAGACTGACTTAGTACAACCTCTTTCCTCTTGTTACCTAGTTAGTGGGTTCATTTAGGCAATCGCATTTGTGTTCAAATCTCCTCAGCCAGAGAGAGACGAACTCAGAATTCTTCTTTTCTGGTTAAACTTGTTCAGCCACAAATTGTTGGATAATTATAAAAGATGGTATTTCCTCTAGCAGTTTTGTGAATCTTTTGAGTAATTTTATTTGCTTACCTTCCCACATGCATATCYCCCAAATGGCGAGGTTATAAAAGTATCATGTGGAACAAAACAATTTGGAAAGATGTGAAGAAATTAAAAACATTGTTTGGCTTAATTTTTTTTTTTTTTTTTAGTTCATTTGTTGAATTGAAAAAATTAATTATGTCCATAGCCCTAATCACCTGTTGGTGCACGTTAGTATGGC